TCCATTTCCTCTTTCAGTTTCCTCCCACAGACCAAAAACATACATGTTAGGTTGATTGGTAACTCTAAATTGTCCCTAGGTGTGAGTGAGAGAGTGAATGGCTGGTTGTCTCATTTGGCTCTATGTGTCCCTGTGAGGACTAGAGACCTGTCCAGGGTGTCCCCCACCTCTCGCACAGTGATTGCTGGATATGAGCACGAGTGACCCCCGCTAAAGGAGGCATATCTGTTACGATGAATGTTGAGTATCTGTATTATTTACAAAAAAACATAAGTTTAGTCAACTCTTTATTTTGGAAAATATTAACTCTGACTTTAGGTTATATAATTTCAAATTAAAATGCACTCGCAGTTCATAATTGCAACCCTTTTAGCTAATCAACAGTGAATTAAAAGGTTTGGCTAAAACATAAGTGTCTCCTTACAGTAAACTTTAACTACCCGTAACCAAATTTTACACATTTATTAATTCAGTTATATAAAAATAACCTTACGTGTTTTTTCAGCTTTTTTGTTGAATATTGAAGCTTCAATTACTGTTCATGCTTATTAGCTTATAGACCATGATATAATGTATTTGCTGCCTCCAGTGACGAAAATTGTGGCGAGATTAAACTCTACTTGCAGTTTTCTAGACATTCAGCAAACATCACCTGAATGTTAAGTGAATGAAAAGAAAAACTTGAAAAACACTTAAGGAATTTGGACGCCCCTTTTTTTTTTTCAGAGGTCTCTACTACGAGTCATCCTCCTCCATCTCATTTTGTCCTCTGCATCCTCTGTCCTCACTCCAACTACCTCCATGTCCTCTCTAACTGCATCCGTATTTCTCCTTTTTGTCTATTTCCGGCAGCTGCATTTCTAACATCCTTCTACCAGTATACCCACTGTCCCTCCTCTGGACATGTCCAAACCACTGTCCCTCCTCTGGACATGTCCAAACCATCTCAGTCTGGCCTCTCTAACTTTATCTCCCAGTTGTTCAACCTGTGCTGTACCTCTGATCATACAAACCAAATGTTTCAGCATCTGAGAAGTCTGCAGCAACCGCTGATTTAATATCTCAAAATTATGATTTAGCTGCTCATAATTATAAGATACTAAATCAGAATTATTAGATACTAAATCAGAGTTATGAGATGCATCAACATTATGAGATACTAAGTCAAAGTTATGATATGCTAAGTCAGAGTTATGTGATACTAAGTACAAGTTATGAGATGCTAAGTTCGAGTTATGAGATACTAAGTAGAGTTATGGGATGCTAAGTCAGAATTATGATATGCTAAGTGAAAGTTATGAAATGCTAAGTCAGAATTATGATATGCTAAGTGAAAGTTATGAAATGCTAAGTCAGAATTATGGGATGCTAAGTCAAAGTTATGAGATACTGTCAGAGTTATGAGCTACTAAGTCAGAGTTAAGAGATACTAAGTCAGAGTTATGAGATACTAAGTCAGAGTTAAGAGATGCTAAGTCAAAGTTATGAGATTCTAAGTCAGAGTTATGAGATGCTAAGTCAGAGTTATGTGATACTAAGTACAAGGTATGAGATGCTAAGTCAGAGTTATGTGGTACTAAGTACAAGTTATGAGATGCTAAGTCAGAGTTATGAGATGCTAAGTCCGAGTTATGTGATACTAAGTACAAGTTATGAGATGCTGTCAGAGTTATGAGATGCTAAGTCAGAGTTATGAGATACTAAGTCAGAGTTATGAGATGCGAAGTCAGAGTTATGTGATACTAAATACAAGTTATGAGATACTAAGTCAGAGTTATGAGATGCTAAGTCAGAGTT